CTGAGACCATTTAAGTTAATGAAGAGAATACAATAGAATGAGACAAGCTCATACAGTCTAGGAAAGGTCACTGTAGCAGGGGCAGCATATTTTGACACTTCCTTAGATCTGCAAGGTGTCACAGGTAAAAGATACAATATATGACTACCATAAATGAGCCACACAATTCCTCCAGGATTCAACTACAAATGAATGATGCTTTATGCTTTCCTCTGAATATCTATCACAACAAGTTTGTATAATGCTGATAAGTTAAAAAGGTTTTGGAGATTTCAATACAATGTTTCTGGTCCTTGAACAAAGCCAGAAAAGCCAACCTAAGAGTTTAATCCTTGATAGGCTTGCTAAAATGAGAAAGTTCTCAAAAGAAAAACAGTTACAAAGAATCCAAAATAATTTACCTATACTGGAATGAAGACTGCTAATGTTACACCACCATGCCATTCTTCTAACCTATCATCTATCTATCTGTGTGAAAAGATTAGCAGTGTTCTGTAAGCCAAAGAGCAGTAATGTATTGTCACTATGAAGCAGTTATACTGAAGTTAGCAATTACTCTGCACAAACCAGCCAGAAGACTGCTAATCACCAAGGCCACCATACAATCGCCACTTAAAAAGATGTTTATTTTTAAATCCTTATCATTACTTGAAGTCAAGACACTCCTGCATAAGTAATACAAATAAATATTCAGGATAATGTATTTCCAACAAGAGCTTTGGAAATCCCCCCTGCAGAAGGAGTTACGGGTATGCTAAACAACTTGGGTATCTTGCCAAGCACAGAATCTTTTTACAATACCTCAGTATCAAACTATCTAAAAATTCTGTGCTCAATAGGTGAAATCCTGGTTCCAAGTAGTTAATGGCAAAATCCCCTTTGATGTGAATGGAGCCAGGATTTCACCCCACATCTTCATTTCATTGACTACAAGCATGTTCACTACTTGCACCAATTCATGTAAAATAGTGAATTCTTCAGAAGAGAGATTTATCTAAGGATGCCAATATGCCAGGGCTGACCTATGTTGATGCATAATAAAATTAAAATATTCACATACTAACTAACATAGAATAGGTTATGAAATGTTGTATTAGCATAGATACTAAAACTAAAAAAAATATCTAAAAATACTTCATGAGCCTCATTAAATGCATTATAAAAAGAACAGCTATAAAGGTAGGAAATCATAGTTAAAGTACAACTGACTTCCTAACCTTCAGAAGCTTCTATAATCTCCCATATCCGTGTGTAATATACAGTAAAAATTAAAACATTCATAAAGTTAAAACAAGTCATATTTTACTTCTGAGATTAATTTCAGCTTGGTTATGGACATGCTTATTTTAAAATAAATAAAATAAAGGGAGCAGAGAGCAAGCAGCTTAAATAATCAGCTACATGGTAAGATTATTTGAAAATACAAATAGATATTAAAAGATTAATACTGCTTAGTTTAGAGAAGATACAAATAAGAAAACAGGTTATACAGAAAAAGTATGAGAATTCTATTGGGAATCATTTCTAATACAAAATGAAAGGCAACATTATAAAAGAAAATACTTTTTAATAGGATTAGCAAATGGCAATTATAGTAATAAGGTACTATTGAGCACAAGAGTTTATCAAGATTTAAAGATGGATTAAAAACCCATAATAAAATAAAATATGGATATAAACCTTCATAGCTAATGGCATAAGACAACCATTGACTGGTTGGGTTAGAAACCTCCCCTATAACTGTCCACCACAAAAATTTTAAGTTCTTTCCTCCAAGATACTTGGTACTAATCACTCCTGAAGATAAGTTATTAGGACAGATGAGCCACTGATCTGATCCAAAACAATGCTTATGTTCCAGAATACCATGCACCCAAAGCATCCATCCTGTAGTACTAGCCAGCCACAGGAAGTGAAAACAAACTAGGTTTCCAGTGACTTACACAGGATGAATCCATTGTATGGTAAAGTTTTTTGGACTTTTTTTTTGAACCTCAGAGTTTTTTAAAGTTTTTTAAAAATTGCAGTCTAGTCATTTATTCTTCACCTACTATTTATGTCTTAGTCTTAATAGTGTATACTAACAATGTTTTCTGTATTAAAATATGACACTTAGCTACTTATATTCATTGTCTCCCTTTGCAACGCTTTGAATTCTCCATACTATTTTAAATTGCCATGCCTTGCCTTAATTATTGAGAGTTCCATCAAAAAAAAAAAAAAAAATCTAACGTTTCTTACACTGATCTTTTCTGACTTCAAACCCATTTGACCAGTAAGGATTAAAATTAAAGTGAGAGCAAATCATGCAATATATTAACAGTAAACTATTATATAATAATACTAACAAATAATGTATTATATTAATATGCCCAGATCATTTAATATATTGTAACTGAAAAGTTTATTTTGAATGAATTGTTGTTGCTACCTTAAATTGTTCCCATTTTTCAAATTATGACTTCCTAATACACATTACTTTAAACAACTCATTTAAAATAAATGAGGCTCAAGAAAGCACATTTTATAGTAGTGATGAGAACTACATAAAAATCAGACATAAAATTACTTTTGTATTATAAGCATCGTCATCCCAGTCTACAGTTGGGGTGGGAACTACATCTTACAAATGACACTTAAACAAGAACTACCATTATCAGCACTTCTGAACCTCTGTCACTTACATGCTGAAACAAGGAGGGGCATTTTCTCAACAGGCTACAAAAAAGCAAGAGGTTTATAAATGGAAAAAAATGAGCTAAAAGCTTTGAACTATGTATTAAAACTGCACAAAGTGTAATATTTCAAAATGCCAGGCAAATTTCTTTACAATAAAAAAAGCATGTGAATATTTATAAAGACAGGGAAGTAACGCAAGCCTAATTCAAAGCCTACTGAACAAAATGGAAAGAGGTATATTGATTTTTAAATGTTCTTTGGAGCATTACCTATAAGTCCAAAATTTTAAATGATCATTAAAGAGAGGCAAGATTCATTTATATTTGGCAGAGATGAAAATATAGGCTTTAATCCTGCCAACGTCTGCATTATACATCTTCATTTTAACCATAAGGATAAATCCACTGAATATAAAGAGACCCCTCATATGCTCAAAGTGAAACATGTTGTTACTTGCCTACAGGATCAGAGGACTTAAACCCAGCATCAAAACAAAGATATTTATGAAAATATTTCAAGACATGTCTGGGTGGAGTTCTGCATTTGGATTTTAACATTTGTCTAACTTTTTTTGTAAAATAATACAGAATTACCATATAAGAAATAAATTGCAAGAGACCATACATGTATACTTGTAATTGTAAAAGTAAACTAAGAGTATAAATGGTGAAAAGCAATTTAGGTCCTGATCCTCTATCCACTGAAGACAAAAAGAGCTTTTTGACCTTAGTCAGTTCAGCACCAAGAACTCTAATAACATTAAAATTTCTTTCAACAGTTAATACCAGAATGTGTTTTAAATAACCCTGATAGGTTTCTTAGAACTATGGGGCTTTTTTTTTTTGCCTGATAATGTCCTTTAACATTCTAATGAATAACCTAAAAAATAAGGGAAAATAAAACTCCAAACATTTCAGCTATTTACTCCTGTAGATTACACGCTCAGCCTTTCAATAACTATTCTAAAATTACTATGGAAAACTGCTAGCATATTTCTAAATTACTGATTGATCTTTCATAACCTGTGAAATATATACTGTTACATAATGCCTATCCCATTATCACAAATAATTACAAAGTTCTAAATATGGCTCTGAGAGGAAATAGATGCCATACTCATTCAATTAAGGCTGTATACAACTTCTTTATTCATTAAGCACCTCTTTTTCCACACAGTTCACCAGTAAACCTCAAGTCAAACCAGTGATGCATTTAAATCCAGTAATTACTATCCAAGGCAATGGACTGCTTGCAACAATAAAGCAGGCATACTAATTCAGCTGCTGCTATGATCTTCAGATCTCACATCCTGCTCTAATGCAATTAGTCTACAAAGAGCTAATTACCCTAATCGAGCAATCACAGTTTCACTGACATCTTACTTCCTCTAACAGCTATAAACACCAGTGGGCTAAGATAGCACCTCGTTAGTTCACTGTAACATTGTTTACAATGCAGTTTGAATTGATTATATTTACTACATTCCAAAAATACCTGGAGCTTTCTGTTTTACTATCAACAACTGTATACCTTTACCTAAAACTACTCACTCCAGGATAGTTTAATACCTATTACTGATAAGCCTTCATTTAAAAACAATATGCATCAGCAATACCCAAAATACTGGGTATTTTACACACACAAAAATAAGAAATCTCAGATAAACACATGGATTTTGCAATCTTTTTTTAAGGAAACACTACAAAGATTAACAGGTCCAAGTTTTCATTTACATTTGACATTTCAACCCAGTTCCCACATTACACCTGCACAGACACAATTGTTTTCTACATCCACTGAGAGCAGGATAAGTATTGGCTTAATCTGCAACAAGGGAGATATAGCTTAACTATTTAAAAATTCTAAATATTAAAGCATCTAAAAATAGCTCAATACTGGAAAAGAATTGTGGCATCCTTATCTATATAACACGTTATATAGATAGCTACTAGGAAAGATCAACACTGAAAAGTTCTTATGTTATTATAATTCTGTTTTCCCAACCATGAACCTACCATCACCACCACCACACACTAAAGCCCACAACACAGAAAATAATTTAACTCAGTAGCAACAAGCTTGAGGTGTATATTTTTTATATTCAGTGATCTTGTCCAGAATAAAAAAGGTAGCGAAAAGACAATATTGAATCCCAAATGAAGTCTAAAAACTAACATTTCAATTTCAATCTCTCACAGTTGAAACAGAGAAAAGCTACAGTTGACACAGCAGATCATCTTCACAGGCACACCTAAAACTACATCACAGTAAAACTAGTTTTAAGCCTAACAGAGTTCAATGTCAATATTATTTATACTTGCCTGACTTTTGGCACCATCATCCGGTGTTGTACCATTAATATGTGGCAAATTGATGCCATCAGTGTGAAGACTTCTTCACTCGCTGAATCTCTCCAGACCATATTCAACAGGGTGTTTGTCTGCTGTTTCGTAGCGAGTTTTTTTAGACACTCCTCTGTTATACACTGCACTGATATTCTCCCATCACCCTGTAAATACATAAAAAAAACCCACTTCTTGTAACTTTTTAAACATTTATTTATCAAAGCCTATAGCTTTTTCTTTTTTAATAATGTTTCAGAATGTTATAAAAAGCAACAGCCTCATAGTGTTAAAAGAACTGCATAAACATTTCACAGGTAGTAACAAACAAGAAGTTGGTTTAAGTCCCTGGAAAGACAAGTATTTGAGTGCAGTTTGGATCTGACCTATGCCCAAAGAATTCAGTGAAGAGATTCCCTGTGATTTCAGTTGGTTCTGGGCAGATGACTACGTCTGCACTGTATGTGAACACAAGGCAAAATTCTTAACTGGCATAAAATACCAATATAGACACTAAGCAAGCTATGATGGTTTACAAGACCAGAATGGAGTCCAGGCAAGTGAGCCCTCAACTATCTTACTGCTTATCTAGCCATGTGCATGTATCAATCAGGCATTTGGATACACGTATTCCAGTATCTAAAGTGTATGTGTACTAGGGCTGTGCAAAGCTTTGGTTGCTGATTTGATTCGGCGGAGATTCAGCCCAATTTGGCGGCTGAATCTCCAAATCAAATCAGGAGACCCTTTAATCTCTCCAAATCGAATCAGAACCCTCTGAATCGATTTGGAGAGATTTCATAATTCAGACAGACACAGCTTTAAATGTTTTTTCTACATACCTCAAGGTACCAGGCAGCTCATTAATGCTGGGATGCTGGGGCAAATGAAGTATCCCACAGGAGAATCCCCAATGCACTCGGCAGCAGACCTGGAAGTGGACCAGAAGCACTTCCAGTCCACTTCTGAGTCTGCCACAGAGTGCGTGGAGGACCTCTCCCCAGCTCAGCAACTGGTGCCTCCTGGGTCTGGGGAGGCACCCGGGGTCCCCGTGGCCAATTGCCGAGCTGGGGGGCCATGGGTGGGGGCCACGCACTCAGCAGCGGATCCAGAAGCGGACCAGAAGTACTTCCAGGTCTGCCAACGAGCACACGGGGAGGGGAGGCTGCGCTCCTGTGGGACACTCCATCTGCCCCACTATCTCAGTGCTCACGAGCTGCGCCTGGTACCTTGAGGTATGTAGAAAAAACATTTAAAGCTGTGTCTATGGCCGAATCGTTGATCCTCTGAATCAGCATTGAATCCTGGGATTCAATCAAATTGAATCAGGACAGTGATCCAAATCAAATCACTGTCCCCCGATTCAGGCCGAATAAGAATCGAATATGGCTCGTTTCGCACACCCCTAATCTGCACCACTTCTGATCAGCTGATCAGGACCACAATGAGTTTCGGCTGAATGGCAAAGTGGCACACTTGAAAGTAAAAGCTGCAGGAAGCAATAAGTAAGCGTCCTTTACTTGGCAACCTGCTGTGGTCCAAGCAGGCTGTGAACTGCACACCATGAAAAATTTCTGTTCTACTATATATTGTGGTAGAACAGAAGTCTCAGGACAGGCAAAATATAGCAGTATATTTATAAATCGGTGTATAAACAAAACCTGAATAGACATCTAGATTTCTTTTTCCTAGTCAGCTTTCAGACATTGCCAACCCCTACAGATCCTTTACTCAATGTCCTGTTGGTATTTACATTATGAAGATTCAACAAAAAAAAAAAAGTTTGTAACAAAAATACCCTCTGTGCTCAAAATTTGGCATACAGGCTGCCAACACATGTGAAATCCCCCCCCAAACAAACAATGCTTTATCAGAAGAAGCAGCACATTAGATCAACCTGGCTCCCCACCATCTGAATATCTCTTGTGCTTCAGCAGGGCTTTTTGGCACTTTCATCTAATAGCAGATTCAATCAGGACACCTGGTTCTAGGCCCAACTGGAGGTTTAAACCACATGTCCCACTTTCTGCTACACTACCAGCTAAGCAAGACTCAGTGCAGGCTCCAAACTTCCTCTCTGGAGGAAGGAAAGAATGAAAGTTGCACTGGGACATAAGAAGAGCAATCAAGAGGGTGACTGACTGCTGTAAGAGGGCACTCCACTGGGAAACAGTCCTGAGTTCTGGCCACTGCTCCCAACACTGCTTATGCATTTTATCCACTGACTAGTTACTGTAAGAAAAGAAACAAGAAAATCATAACACCTAGGAAAAAGGAGATCGTACTTTCAGTTGTATTTTCCATAGATCAAAGAGTAAGAATGTAGCAAATGCTGAAAGTAAAAGTTGAAGAAATGACTGTGAAAGGGACTGGGATTTTAATAGGACAATTGTAGATCTGAACAGGAAACAGTAACTGGAGTTCTTCAAGATATGTTGTCCAAATACACATCTTTCCTGTGTGCATGCATACACCGTAGCACTCAAATTTGAAGACTTTTTGCCTTAGCAATGTCTGAGGGGAGTTCCATAGCTGTGCCTTTCCTGGTTCTCCAAACCGAAGAAATAAATATTCTCAAGTTCCACGACCAAAGAACAGAAAGGAGACCAGGATCTGCATAAGGAAAACGCATCTCAAGAACCTCCAGGTGCTGGTAACTTCTCGTTCTCCTTAAAGGACTGCCCATATGCAGACCTGCAAACAAAGTCATCAATAAGCTTGATTATTTTTCTTTCGAGGTGGAGGACAGCTACCCAACTGTGGTAAGTCATCCCTCAGGCAACTAGCTCTGGTCTGCTATGTATATCCAAGGGCAGCAGGCGGGCACAAGGAATGAACAAGCTGCCCAAGGAGCTAGCAGAATATCCTAACCATGGCCCCTCACCTTGACTCTAGTTCCTGACTCTATCTTCTTGGCCCTGGATTGATCTGTGGCTCCTCTTTCAGCTCTGGCTTGACTCATGGCTTCCTGATCCTGGCTTGTCCATGACGACCTTCCTACCTCTCTGACCCTGGCCTATTCCCACCATAACTTTGGGCATCCAGACTGAACTCTGGCTTGACCACCAGCTCCAGTCTCTGGCTGTGAACCTGTCTGGACTCCAAGAACCAGGCATGGTTACCCACATCTTGGTCATAACCATACATACTCATTTGTCAGTACCCTCAGAAATGAAGGCATAAAAATACTTAGCCCCCTCTAGAAAGGACCAGAACAGCTTGTCTATAATCGTCTCAGTTGCAAGTCTTTCACATGAAATTCGTCAAACTCATTCACACCTCACTGATAGGCAAGGGAACTTTAGTAAGGCCAGACTGCCGTCATATGTCAACCAGACTAAATGCTAGGTGAAAAATCTTCCTCAATCAAAATCTGAAGGGCCTGAGGACTTGATAGGCTCCAGGTCTAAAAAAGTCCAGAAAATCCTGGAAATCATGCTTCTCATGAAAAGACAGAAGATAGAATCTTTTTTCAAGCATGATAATTAGACCGTTATAAATCACCCAGTCTTTAACCACAGTCCAGGGAAGCTGTTTAATCTGAGAAGGATCTAAAACATTTGGAGGAGATGACATAGGCAGCAGTGCCTTGGACAATCTTCTTCAACAGTCTGGGGATTGTTGAGATAGATCTCTGGAGCTACAAGAAGATACTCAACAGTTGAAACCAGACATATTCCAATGAGCTGTCATCTAGATGGCAGGCAATGCTTTGGAAGCTGGATCCAAAGCCAAACCCGATGCCAAAACTGGGGTTGGAAGTTGGAATGCTGGTAATGACTGAATGAGAATTGGTTAAGTTATTAGATATGAGGAAGGAAGAAGAGAAGTTGAGCTGTGTACAGACAGTGCAAGCAAAGTAAAGATATGCCAGGCCCTGAGCCCACTTCCCTGCTCCATGGTGCTATAAGAGCCCCATATAATTAAACTCTTGCAAGAAGATAGCATGCATCCAGGCTACCCAGGATACATGCATCTTGTAGCACTGCTTGCACACCACAACTGTATTAGCTCTAAAAAGACCACAGTAATAAATTCTGCTAACAGCAAGAATTTTATGTAGAAAACTATTTTTGAAACCATTTCATAAGCAGTTTATAATTATGTCTCTGTAGAATCCAATATTCTTCTTCTCTCTCCCATTATAAATGAGAATAAAGGCTTCCTTTTATTTTAAATGCAGTACAAAAGGTAACTTTTTAAAAATAAATGTATGCCTCTCAATGATCATGTTTCTAACCTGTACTTTTAGCAACTTCTAGTCGCACTACATTTAGGTTTCCATTTAAAAATACAGGATTAAAAAAAAACTGTTTACCTCTGTAGTTTATAGTTTTATTTATATTCACATATCTGCAGCATACTATTGCTTGTAACATACACCAATCTACTGATCACAGCATCTTTCTTAACAGTCACTTAGAGTTCTACGCTCTATGAGAGTGCCATTCTCTTCCACTACAAATAATGGTAGATTAGGTGGTCTTCTGCACAACAGGCTACCAGGCAACAATTATCTTACCTAGCTGTATAAAACACATTGTGAGAAAATTACGAGAGAACTAGGAAGAGAAAATTTATACTTTGTCTCTAAATTACCATAAAACCAATATCGAAAAGGAAACTTAACAGTCCAGCTATATCTTTGGTGTTCTCATGCATTTTCATACTAAATATACAAGAAATAATTTTAAAAGAAAGACTATGATAAAACCTGTAATTAAACAGTCACCTGTTAACAGAACCAAAATTAGCTAACACACATTTCGTTCTACCAATAACGAGAAATGAGGGATTATAACGAAGGGATGTTCCTTAGCTATAATGTTTTTATAATAATGTTTTACAGGCAACTCATTAATGCTTACATGGGTAGTCATCATCTTACTGATCTCTTCATCCTCCTCTTCAGAATCACTAGTTGCATCTTGACAATTTGTACCACTACTAGACACAGGCAACTGAGAAAGAAAGGTCTGTAGAACCCTCAAGTACACAAGCAGTCCTTCCTCAGAAAGAGATCCTATTTCAAATAAATTGATACAAAAGTATTACACATATGCTTCTCTACCACGACAGATTAATGCTGTGGTTAACAAGAATTTCTTACCCATTCACAACATGCTCTATGTTGCATAGTGCTCCTTAAATCTTGGAGCAGTTTGCAAGAGGAATACATTTAATCATGGCCTTCATAACTTATCTTTTTTTTCAAAACAATAAACTCTTAAGAATGTTATATGTAACATGTTAATTTAAAATGGTAATATAAAAAAATACAAAGTATTAACAGATAAAATATTTTTCATACCTAAATATGTTTCACCAACCATTAAAACAAAATAAAAAAGCCAGGGAGCTCTATCACTTTTTCTTGACCGTCCACTTTCTGTCAGTAATAGTGCATTCAGAAAGAGTTCATAAGGGAAAGTGGTCTGCACATCAGCCAGCGCTGGAATGATGAAATGGAATATCTGATCCGTAAAAGGTGCTGCCAGCAACTCCTCAGTGAAGGCAGCAAATACCTGTTGCCTGAAGGGGGGTGAAAGTTCCTTAATAAAATTGCAAACAACTTTTCACTACTATACCCATGAAACAATTTATCATAAACTTGTAAGTTCAAACGTATTATTCTATCTATCAAAGAAACTTTGTGTAGTTGCATTCTACTAATTCTATGCCACTAAAACAAGGTTATCAGATTACTCAAAAATGAAATTATGCCCCTTTCCTTAATCAAGTTAACTGTATTGTTAAAGCCTTAATGCAGCCACCAAAACTATTCTGAAACTATTATTTCAGTATTGTGAAAAATGACATATAAAGTGACAGAATGCAGTAAAAGGCATATTTTTCCTGAAAATCTACTTCACTGCACTATCCACTACCACATATAGTAAAACAAACAGCTTTGGTTTTGGTCATACTTTGTATCTGCCTCCCAACATTATGACTTTGCTAATTATTCTGGAGTCTCTGCACAGGTCTCCCATACTCTCTCTCGCATCAGAGTTCTTTTTCTTTCTTCAAGATTACCCTCAAGCCTGAATTTCTGCACTCACGCTTAGTTCTTTTCTCTCATCCCTTCCACACTGTGCTACCCTTTGGGCTCTATTGATCACCTCCTCATATCAGCCTTTGCCAGCCTTTTAAATGCTTCCTTCCCATGTCTGAAATAGCCACATCCTTTTCTGTGCCAAATGTTACAAAAATTGTAATACTACAATTAATTCAGCAGCCCATATAAAATCTTAACTAAAATTTATATGCATATACCCTATGTATTTCAGAAGAATGAGTGGATATACAAGCACTAAGGGGTACACCCCTTTGCTTACCTTGCACCTTCTGGACAGGAGCTATACGTAAAGTGCAATGGTTTCAGAACATTCTCTAGCAGTATTTTTGCAATAGGAACTCGAGAAACATCAGAATATTCAATACTTGATGGAAGTTTATTATTAATTAACAAATAAAGAGACCTGTAGTATCCTACAAGAGACACAAACATATAGACAAGCTTTTAAAAGTTGCGCCCATGTATTCCTTTACTTATAAATTATTACGCCATTGTTCTACAAGTGAAAAATCTTACACTTCCTAGTTTGTCTTGTTTAAGCAATATGTAGGTAAACTAAAAAAAATTTTAAAAACAAAAAAAGTTACCATCAGAAAACTCATGTAAAAGATCAGCAACATTTTTGGAAATATACGTTATGTTGTTAAACAGAGAGAAAGAGAAATGTATGCAGAATTAGACTGACTTTCAAAAAGTAATTGCTCCTGCTGCCAACCAGAAATAGGATACTAACTCCCTGTTTTTCCTTTCTCCAAATGTGTCCTCCTGTCACATTTTGGCTTTCTGAAATTTCAGACATTATTATTATATCCCAGAGCCTGCATGCTACATGGTATCCTGACTGAGCCAGAGGGGTACAACAAAAGTGTCAATCTTTTTTCATACCATTAATGTTCAGAAGTTACTGTACAAGTCCATCCTATTTAATTCAGTTTCCTGGTCAATGAACTTAAAGCACAGAGCACATATTTCATCAATATTTTAATTAACACAGGAGCACGTATTTTATCAATGAAATCTTGGGAGGACAGCTTATCAATAATAAATATGTCCAATTAAGATTATTTGCTCTGATGAGCCAAAACCAACCCATGGCATCTGGAAATAAACCTTCAAAAGATGTTTTCAGCCTATTTTAAAGACTAAGAAAATGAAGATCTTTTTCACTCTCTTATTACATGTTAAAATTGAAAGTTGGGAAGAACTTAAAACAGATCTGCTAGTTGAGAATTACACCAGAATGAAATGCTAAGGAAAACTTCTTTGTTGGGCCCATTCCCTCCCAACAATACTCCTGACTTCTGAAAAAGTCAGAGTACATTTGTGAACATGGTCATTGGTTTAATTTCTTCAGCTTCAATAACAATATATAAATGTTTCATATTTACAATATTTTCCTCAAATGAAGCACCTCTTTTCAAGTTTAGACATATATACTGAACATGCCATGTTCAACCATAAAAATGGTTCTTCAAGAGGCACTGGCCATGACCGACCCCTCTTCCCTGCTACAGTGTAGTTTGATAGCCCCTGGATTCCCCTAGAGAAGAAACCGAGGGGCAGCTGGGGTTGGTCACAGATCCTGGTGGCCCAAATGTTGCCACAGGTACTTTGGATGAGTGCAAAAGGGCACATACACACTGACAGCAGCACAAATGTGAATAAACACCTGAAGATGAACTATCATTTGTTTTCCCTCTGGTGGGATTTTAATACAGCAGCTAATACATATCAACTCTTTTCCCAGAGAAGTCAGGATCTCAGACTAATAAGGTACTTTACTTCCCTCTACTTCATAGGAGCACTGGTAACAAGAAGTTGTATCTATACACCAAAACCAGTATTTAAATCACTATATACAGGCATTTCAATACCTAAAAGCATTAAAAAATAAACACCAATCCTTTATAAAATATCAGATGCACAGGTCTTTTCAAAGGAAAAAAAATTATGAGTAAATATATACTTGAAAGATTTCTTTGCTTTTAGGTTCAGTCCTTCTGAATGTCATTTTTATACGTGACGCTATATAGAACTGATCACATTCCAAATCCTGAAAACCATTTTGCCCCTCTTTTTACTACTGCAATTTTTTCCATTAAGCAGATCTTGTGTCCACTGCACAAAATTCCACTTGCCTTAACTCAACCAACTTGTCATTAATGACCTGTATTACAGTAAGTCGTGGAGTCTTACCAAAGACTGCACAGTCTTTGTGTTAAGTACAAGACAATACATTAAAAGACTGTGAAAGTACTCTGGTGCAGGTATATCAACTGCTGGTTTTGTGAAAAGTGTTAAAATTTAAAAAAAAAACAACACAAACTTTACAGTGTGTAGGCTAGAGCTTCCAAACATTTAAAAAAAATAGTATTTATATAAAAATACAAGTATGGCTTTAACAAACTTCTAACGAAGTCAAATTAATGCACAGCAGTCAGCCTGCAACATCCTCCAGTAAAAAGTAATTTATGAATGTAGCAGTCCCAGTTATATCTATACTAGTATGTGATGAGCAAGATTTAGTTCACTATGTTTTAAACTAAAACATGGATATATTCTAAGCAGTTAACATAAAAGTGACATCTTTTCTATCAGTAATAGCTAGGTCAAGACGCTCAGTTTACAAGTAAAAGGTTTTTCATTCCTTCTAATTAACAGGCTCAACCAGGGTCAGAAAGCCAAGTTGGATTCTTTCTTTTTTTGCACGTCCCCACAAGTAATAAAGTTCCACAAGCCAAATTATGCCCTCAGTGACACTTACACAATCCATTAGCTTTCAATAGGTTTGCACAGGTGCAAGTGATTGTAACTTAGCAAACAGGACTGCTGATGATGGCACAAGGGAAATAAAAGCTAGGTCACTATCTCTTTGCCGTGTTGGCACTACAGTGTTAACAGGATTAAAAATTAACACAAACTGACTTTTATAATTACCACTTGGCAGATAAAGGGAAAAGAAGACACTGTTTTTACATAATCATGTCTCAAAGTAAAAGTACAATTTAGGTTTTGGAAGAAGGTTATTTACTTAAATGTGAAATAGAAAAACAACATAGATGTATTACTTAATATTAACCAATTGCAAAATTACATGTTAAACATCTGCATAAACTGCCTGACAGAATGCCTCAGGATGTGAGTGTTACAATATTCTGTTCACAAACAACAGTTCAGTATCTGTAGACTCTTAATATTATTCATTATGTGTACTGTAAGAGTAAGAAGAGATTAAACAACATGGCTTTAAGCAGCTACACATTTTGTTCAAGGTTGAGTTTGTCCCAGAATTTTTAATACTCCCAGCTACTGACCTTTGTGAATTGTGTAGTGCAAAATTTGTTCAATTAACGATGCCACATAGCTGGCATCTTGTAAAACAGGCAAATACGTATTCTCAGATGAAAATACCTCAAGCATTCTCATAGGAAGTGCAACATTCAGATTGTCATCATTGCAGTTTTGTAGCAACCTATAAATCAAATATAATTGATAATGATTTAACATAGGAGAAAACTGTTCATATTCAAGTAAAGATACAGGCATTGTTTTCAAAATAAGTTAGCATTTTTCAGATCCATCTTAAAAATTACTTGCTCATTACTTTTTACTTGTTGAGTAACCTTGGGACACTGCAACTGGTGTACTGAATCAAATCAGGTCTCGCTAAGCAATATCCTAACAGTAGCCAGTGGCCAGAACAAGGTTCTTTAGAGGAGATACCAGAAACCCCATTTTAGGCAGATGTGAGAGAATCTCTCCACGGCTGCTCAGGCAACAATCCCCACCCCAAATCTGATAATCCTGAGACTGCTCTGATAAGAGGGAGCAAGGGAGCCCAGTAGCTCAGAGGACTTCCTCCCAGACAATATGAGTAACAGGATGGCTTCTGTGTTCCCTCCTCCTACCTGCAGCAAGTGGCCTGGAAGTGGGGAGAAACAGACCCTGTTACAAGATACCTTTTTGCCCTTGCTTCAAAGGGGAGGCAAAGAAGTCTTTGAGAAGAATGGGGCTACAGTGAGGACTCAGTGTTGACAAGGTGACCAGAATTAGTGGGCTACATTGGGGCTGAGCAGATTAGAAGAGGACAAAAGAGGACAACTAGACAGAGCTGGAGGCCAGACAGAACTGATGCAGGGACGAAAACTGGCATAGGGGTTGGAAGAACAAGACTGCTAGGGAAGGTTGGAAGGCAGATTGATTGCTAGGCATGGGACAGATGGATTAAAAAAACATGAACACTCCTAAGAGATAAAAATCACTTAAGCTTAGTGGTTAAAACAAATTCAGAAAAAAAATTAAGTTGCTAGCATCACTTCAATGCAGTGAAAAAACTCATGCAAACTATGTCAAGCTTTTATGTTTAAAAATGACTCATCTTTGTTCATCAATTCATATTAATTTTTTATGCATTTCTATTTTTTCAGCTGAATTTTCTATGAAATCTACATTACCTACACAACAGTTTAAATTCAGAAATATTTTCATGTGGAAATCAAAAGTACTTTTCAACAATCTTATTGGTGCCTACTCTGCAGTGATGTATAGCTTCAGTTCTAACCCTATAGAAGACTAAATTGTCATAGATATTTGAAAACTTATGTTAGCATATAAAAACAAACGTTTAATTTCCACAGCATTTATCATGTGTATAGAAGAGATTTAAACATTGAAAAATCAATGTCAATACATTAATACAACAGTTCAGCTGTTCTAAATAAAGTATCATACACAGAAGAAAATACTGAACTCTGAGATAATAAAGAAATTCTCAAGGAGAATAAATAGTTGACATTGTTTCCAATTTGGAAACTACAAACTGCAGTTCAAACTATAGTAAATCTTCACTTCTAGCTCAGCAATAAGAAATAAAATGTCTAACTAGAACTGGATTCCACTGTATTTTGTGGTTTAAGCCAAACCGCATAAAAGGAAATTATCCATATTTCACTATGTATGTTGTGCACGCAGTTATAGAATGTGCAAGACAGTAATTCTCTAGAAACATTGTTAACACTAACCAAACTCAGATCACTTAACAATACAAGTCTTCTTCATTGTTTCCACTGTTGGCTTCACACTGCATATCAACAGATACCATTAGCCTCTTGCTAACCCTTTTAAACCCAGAGAGGGGAGGCTGGCTACTTCTATCACACTACTGTGATAAAACACCTTTTTTGGCTGCAAAGAAGAAAGTGGACATCAGAAGCCAGCAATCTATGAATTTTGCTTGCTGTGACCTGATGAAGTGCATTCAAAGGGCTGCTCTGTACCATGACTACATTATACTAACGTCAATGAGATGCATGCATGACATGCCCCGAGTTCAAAATAAAGTAAGAAGAAAAAGTGTTTTAAATAATTATTATTAGTCTCAAAACAGCAGTAAAGAATTCCACTGAGGGCCTTTACTGACTAGCTGGGATTAGCAGTGCAATTCATATAATTCCTTCCCAGCAGTCATTAGTTCCCAGGAAACATTCCGTCCTGGATTATTAGTGCCAATGATCCCAAATGGGAAACACACTTAATCACATTCTTAAATCCATCCATAGGCGTGGCATGCCTTGACCATATCTTTAACTGTAAAGTCAATGCAGCTTGTCCAGAGGCTTATCATCCTGCTTTGCCTAAATACTTTGTTGGAATTAAAAATGAAATACATTAAAAATCTTCTCTGCTATACAAATAAAATGACACACACATTTTTTTGTCCACGTACTCTGAGGTATTTGCATGAGAAAGAAAAAGCTTTACCTGCAACATAGGCCCAA